ATATATATATAACTTGCCTCGCACCTCTGCTATACTGAAATATATATATATATATATAAAGTATAAAAAGTTCTGATTCATGAAATATATATATATATATATATAGGAGTGAATTCCTTATTTTCTGATTATTATATATATATATATATATATGACTATTTTATGATTCTAATCTTCGTAATATATATATATATATATATTCAAATTAATTTATCTGTGTTTACTTTATATATATATATATATATACTTACATTCAACAGCTAAGAACTGTGCTATATATATATATATATATAAAAGAGTCAGTGGTGTTTATASAATCGAATATATATATATATATATATTTGATGTATATTGTGACCAGACAACAGATATATATATATATATATATTTCCAAAAGAGAATGGATGGCTCCGTTATATATATATATATATATACCGACTACAAGAATGGGTTTGGTAACCTATATATATATATATATATAGGATTGGACAAGATACACCGCCTGACAAATATATATATATATATATAAGTAGATCTGATGGATACCACAGGTGGCATATATATATATATATATAACACGTTTGCGGTTGCCGGTGAGAATACATATATATATATATATATAGGGGAATACTCAGGTGGGTGGACATTTTATATATATATATATATATAATATAATCATCCTTGCTTTGTCGGGGATATATATATATATATATATACTTGTTTTGACAAGTGCTGTTTCTCTTAAAATGTGGAATTAACCCAAGGTATTTCATCAAAATTAATCAATCCCCATATATATATATATATATATCGGTCAGGAAGTTTGCTACAAGAAAAAATATATATATATATATATATGGGGTCAGAATGAACGCTGGAATCGGCATATATATATATATATATATCAAAGGGCCTCATTTTCATACAGCCTCATATATATATATATATATAGATGCAGCGACAAAAAAGCTTTTGCAAAATATATATATATATATATATTGTGCACGAGGTATGATCACGTGAACAATATATATATATATATATATGCAGTGTACCTGAAAACTATCAGTTGGATATATATATATATATATACACAATTCACTCACTTTAGTGGCGTTAAATATATATATATATATATAAGTTTGAAAAAGCTCATTTTATGTGAATATATATATATATATATATAATACTTAAGTGAGTAAGTTCAGGTTGACATATATATATATATATATAAGGAAAGAGCAAGAAAATAAAAGAAAAAATATATATATATATATATAAAAGCGATAATTGACARCAAGTAACACGATATATATATATATATATAAGAAAGTGTGGGTGAAAGATGAAAATAAATATATATATATATATATAATYATGCTGAATTTGCATTACCCTATGCATATATATATATATATATATGTTTAACTAATTTTGGGCGGCTTTTTCATATATATATATATATATATCTTTCTMGTCATCGTGGCCRTCCCTTYATATATATATATATATATAATGMCGGCRAGGACTGTGCTGTGMAATAATATATATATATATATATATTCGGCTGTCATTACTCCAACCTGAATGATATATATATATATATATAGCACTCATCCCAGTACGCAAATGGAGTCATATATATATATATATATAGATACYTCTACTCCGCCAAGAGAGCTGAATATATATATATATATATACAATTTTAAAACTTTGTYTTTGTTTCCAATATATATATATATATATAAATTTGTAGAGGAAACAACAAAGAAACAATATATATATATATATATAAAACCAAAACCACGCACTTTTTATTTCTATATATATATATATATATAGAATTCTCTTACCATTAAAACGACGTTTATATATATATATATATATAAATTATGAAACACTATCCAATTAGCGCCATATATATATATATATATAATGATGTACCACTTTTTTTTGTTCATGAATATATATATATATATATACGCTTAATTCGTATAGTTAAAAAATTCAATATATATATATATATATACAAATTATTTCGTATCGGACATTATAGAATATATATATATATATATAAATAATAAAGTTTCGGGACGAGTTTTTAATATATATATATATATATATCCACGGGATGTTCCAAAAATGCCTCATGATAGAGAAATCATCAAATAAGCCGCCCAGCAGCTGTTAGTAGTGTCTGTAGTGAATCAGTACAATCATGAATCTCACAGATCTCCCGGAGGAGATATATATATATATATATAAGTGCATCGAACATTATAGCAAGAACTAATATATATATATATATATACTGGTAAAATTACTTTATGACTGCTGAGATATATATATATATATATATAACAACTGAAGATGATTGTGCTTGGTTATATATATATATATATATAAATAAAGACAGAATATCAAAAACCATCAATATATATATATATATATATGAACTGGGCCGCTGGATGAATCAAAATATATATATATATATATATAAATATCGGCRWATAAGTGTTTTCCTTAWATATATATATATATATATAGAGGAGGGATTTGCGTAAAAGGAACCGTATATATATATATATATATATTTTAATGGTTTGCGTCGGTTCATGCTTATATATATATATATATATAGCTTGAGAACTGGCGGTGAATTGTCTCTATATATATATATATATATAAGACAAAGGCCGACTTGGTCGTTTGTATATATATATATATATATATAATTTAATTTTGTTTAAATTCCTTTGTCGATATATATATATATATATACAAAGATCTTAGAATATGGAAATCATTGATATATATATATATATATATTAAGCGTTTGAAGCATGTCTCGCAATTATATATATATATATATATACAYTCATCATGGAACATATATAACTGTYATATATATATATATATATATAAAYATACCATTTTTTTAATTATTGAAATTCCTCACCTAAAATAGAAAGCGCTTGACCATACATTAGATGATTTATATATATATATATATATAGAGCTGAAAAAAAGTACTTTTAGTTCAAATATATATATATATATATATCAAATTGATCTTTGTGTTTTGAGCCTTATATATATATATATATATAGGCAGTGTAAGCGGGGGTATTTATCTTTATATATATATATATATATATGCAAAAAAGGCACTTTCGTAACTTTCCATATATATATATATATATAAAGATTCAGCCAAACAYTGACACATTTTATATATATATATATATATAGTTATATTTGACTGATCCAGTTMGCTCTATATATATATATATATATAGTTTCGAATTWATTCATTCCAATTCAAAATATATATATATATATATAGAAACTTCAACTCGGCATGAGTTGATTAATATATATATATATATATACTCCAAACTCCCTATGTGCCGCCAATATATATATATATATATATATAAATAAGACCTATTATTACACATTAACTAATATATATATATATATATAAGTATCGTTTTAATATGTTATGGAGTAAATATATATATATATATATATTGTTGCTGTTTGTAGACTGAATCTAGAATATATATATATATATATATGCTTTTCTGTTTTCTTTCCCGACAAAAATATATATATATATATATAAGTGAATGTCTTTGAAAAACCTAAAAATATATATATATATATATATAGCTTTTATGATCTTGTATCTTTTCATTCATATATATATATATATATAGTGATTCCACTAAGCTCAGAAAATACTGATATATATATATATATATAGTTGCAGGTTAAACTAGACATCAAAATTGAATTGATTGCTTGCTTTAAAATGTCATCCAAACCAGTCGATAGGAAATATATATATATATATATAAACATATGTAAAAAACTCTTGAACATACATATATATATATATATATACATTCCTTTAACAATTTCATTCTTTGGCATATATATATATATATATAACGTGATTATAAATGAGTAAAGAAAACCATATATATATATATATATAGTGTTTGTGCTAAACTAGAGTCGACATGATATATATATATATATATAAGAAAGCCAATGATCTAAAGACTTGTGAATATATATATATATATATAAAAGCAATAACTTCTTAACCGAAAATTTATATATATATATATATATAAACAAGCAGGAGATTGCATATGGTTAAAAGCGCAGTGTTATCGACATAGAACCTCTCCATGGTATGTGCGTTAAAATATATATATATATATATAAGCAAAGATTGTGGAAT